CCTCGGGGAGAGCCCCCTCACCCCCAACCCCACGCTGCTCCCCAGCCCTCCAAGCCTGCCTGCGGGGTCTCAGCAGCCCTCCTCTGTTTCAGAGGGCAGGGGTGTGCCTTGCGTTTGCAACGGGCATCGGGAAACTTCTGTTTTCTTCTCTGATAAGGTATGGTTGATACAGGGCTGGTGCCCCAGTTGCGGTGCTGGTTAGGGTTTGGTGAGTAACACCAAAATCTTATTTAACTTCTCCTTTTTACGCTCTTGTTTAGGAGGCTCGTTGTCCGCACGCCCTTGAGTTTTGCTCTGGGTGGAAACGAGACCACCTTTAACTGGCCGTAAGGTCGGCGGTGGGCATGGACCAGTACCCCTTCGGCGACGAGAACGCGGTCCATTTGGAGATGCATCTCCCTGGATTTTCCGAAAGCCAGGGGCTGGTCTGTAGCGAGGCCCTCAACCACGATTTGTGCCTAGATGCGAAAGACGTGATGTACGGGGGGCTGAGCGGCTTGGATGTGGTGCCTGACCTTCCAGCCGCGGATGCGGCCAGCGACGCTCTGGAGGCCGATTTAAACGTGCTCTCTCTGTACCCGGCGAAGGACTGCCACTCTGTTCAGCTCCTTGATGAGTCTGACTCGCGGCCCTCGCAGCACGGTGAGCGCGCTGGACTCGGCGTTCTCTTACTTTGAAGGGTGCCTCGCAGATCAAAGCAGCTGGAGTTATTTAGTACCTATATAGGTGGCGGAGTCCATTACGTGGGAATATTTTTGGGGTAAAGAGGTGGATATGTGGGGTTTTTTTAATCAGTAAGCACTTCGAAAATGTTTCTTGTTGCCTTTTACCTGTAAAATGACGTTCAAATTGGTAAGGCTGTAGAAGATGATAATAATTATAACACCTCTCTTTGACAGGAATTTCACTTCTGTCCTATTTTCTTAAAATTATACCCTGACAGGAATAATGTGGTTTGGTTTTTTTTCTTTTTTTTTTTTTTTCCAAGAGTCCTTGCAACCTGCTCTCCAGCTGGAAATGGAAAATGCAAAGGCATTAAAATGATAGATTTGCCAAACATGTTGCAAACATCTATATTAGTGGCTTTCCCTGAAGCGGAGAAGAGACATTCCGTTTAATTCTTTCTGCGTTTCAAATTCCCTGTGAAATGGATTAAGCAGAATGGGCTTTTTCTAGGTCTGCCGTTGCAAGGAGAGCGCCTTTAGTGAAACGCTCTTCTGGAGGGGATGGATGACTTAATTGCTAATGTCTCTAAAAGCGCACGCCCTGTTTGGGTGGCTTGAAAACAAAACGAATGAAAATCTGTAACTAGCAGCGCTCGAGTAAGAAAACGAGACTTTCTCCTGACAACTGGGGCCTGCGTTTCTACTGGTTCGCCAGTTAATAACAGCTCGTAACGGCTCGTTCCTTACTCGTGGGTGGGGAACCTTGAATTGTCTCCCAAAGTCCAATCCAGCGGGAAGTGCCTGGGTTGTCACCTGAGTCGAATTGCTGTAGGTAAAACACCTTGAACAATGTGGTTTGGAGTTGTCCCGTTCCCTCCCTCTTTTCCCAAGAAAGAGGGGAAAGTGGTAAAATTCATTACAACGAGGTCCAAACCGGCGAAGGACGTAACTTGTGTGAGGGTGGGACGTGGGTTTAGGTGTTTGCGGAGACCCCAGAAATAAAGCAGCTCCAGAGCTGCGGATCGTAAGAGGTGGGGCAGGTCTGTGGGACTTCCGTACTCGTTTTTGTGCGGATAGTCAGCCATCGCAACCCACGGGCCGGAGCCCTCCAACGGAAGCGTTATAAAAAGAGATGTTATTAGTACTAAAGTGAGAAGCTTGTCATTGCGAGAGTAACCTGAGGATATCGCTTGCTCCCTTCCTTCAGAGCCGGGGCTTCCCACGCCAACGGGACCGGAGGAGGCTGGAGGAGGAGGAGGAGGAGGCGGCAGCGGCAGATCCGCAGGGAGAGGAAAGCGTCCCCTCGGCTTTCCTCGGACCTCGCTGCCGGGCTGCAGCCGCTGCGGGAAGGTGTTCGGCAGTGCCAGCGCTCTCAGCAAACACTGCCTGACTCACAGCCAGAAACGGGAACACGTCTGCACCGTCTGCAGCAAGGCCTTTAAGCGGCCGGACCACCTGTACGTAGGCATTCGCCGTTAAAAACGCGTGGAGTTGCTGCGGCCTTGTTTACCAAATGTAAATAAGGTTGGCTTCTGCGGCACTTCGTTTTCCAACTTCAGAAGTTACAGCGATTGTTAGTCTTGGTCGTGTTTTCAGGCTAGCAAACGCTGTGAAGTTGGGTTACAAAACGACTTCCCTAGAGGATGCAAATCAGCTTTGAACTTTCCAGAGCAGGCTGGTGCAGGAAAAGCCTCAAAAGTATCTTATTTCTGTCCAGCTGCAGAAAAATCTGTAATACTGAGCCCTACAATAGCAGCTAGTCTTTTTTTTTTTTTTTCTTCTTTCTTCCCCTGTCTGATGACTGGCGTGGGGGAAATCGCGTGGAAGCTGTTTGTACTGGAGAGTCAGCTTCTGATTTTTGGCAGCCGCTGTTTTAGGAGCTGTTGCAAAAGATCGCTTATCGATGCAACCGCTGCCCGGAACCCTACGCTTCCCGGTGCCGTAAAGCTTTTATTACTAATTCTGGAAGGCTCTCGAAACACCAGCAGATCGTTGCGGGTCCGGTTTTTGGTGGTGGTAGTCCGGGGCTAAATAAAACACCGTTACGCTTTGTGTCAGACCGGGGCGGTTGCCAACAAACCTATTCTGTCCTAAAATGTGCCTTTATGAAGTGACAGTCTGCAATTCTACAGTCAGTTTCCCGTTGTTTTAGGTAACGCGCCTGCCTAACTTTTTCTGTCTCTCTACCAATTTCTACTCTACCCTTTTCTACTCTAAAACGAGAGAGAATTGTAACCAGCCTTTAGTTTGTGTCGACTGGCGTTGCTCACAGGTAGAACGTGGGTTGAGATCCCTGCCGAGCTGTGTTCTGATTTGCTTCATCCTTGCTGAGCGCGGGGGGGCTGATAGGCTGGGGAGATCCTCTTGGATTTGGGGAGAATTTCAGATCCCTTTTGAGTTGTGTTTCTGGAGAGGTGATGGAGCAAGCGGGATTGTGCCGCGTCCCAGTGGGAAAAGCAGTCGGAGGGCACTTTAGTGGACCTCTTCTGAATAGAGGCCAAATTCCGCTTTGATTTATGTCCTGTGCTGCGTCTCTGCCTTGAGCAGAACTGTGCTAAACAGAAGGACTGCAAGAGCTGCGGTAGCTTAGGTGCAAAATGACTTCCTTTTTCAGTTGGAAACGCTAATACGCAATCTTTTCTTCTCTTGATCACCGCAGGAGCGGACACATGTTGACGCATCGGAAAATAAAACCTTTTGTGTGCCCGGAGCGAGACTGCGATAAGAGTTACTGCGATCACCGTTCGCTGCGCCGGCATTATGAACTGCAGCACAGCTTGTGCCGCTTGAAGGAGGCTCCGAAGGAAGGTGCCGGGGGGGAATCCCCGCTTCTTCCTGGTCTGTATATCCAAGGCAGCGGGAAATCGGTGGACAGACTGACTGCGCGCTCAGAGTCGGGCTCTTTCCCACCCGAAAGAGACCTGCTCGGGTGCGCTGCGAACAGCTTTGCGAACCAGAAGCTTCCTTTGGCTGCCTTGCCCTCCGCAGAGCACGCAGGTGCTGCCTGGACAGATTCCTCCCCAGCGAGCCAGGCCTCTTGCCTCACATCTAACAGCAGTGGACTTTCGGAGGCTGCAGGAGGCAATACATCGAAGGATCGCCTCTCTTGCCAAAAGAGCGCTGCTTCTTCCGACGTCTGTGCCGTAATAAATCCCGGCAACGTGTCTGTGATCGCGCCGGGTGAGAACGTAGTTACCAACCTGACCAGCAGGTCTTTTATTTCAGAAGCCCAGTTCTCCTCGGAGCCCGCGGGGCTGCAGTGTTGTCCCGACGGCGCCCTGCCTTGTTTTCCTGTGTTCGGAGGGCAGAAGCTGTCTGCAAACCAGTCGAGCAGTAACTTTCAGTGGATAAGGAACGTGCCGGTTTGTGCTAAACCCAAAAGGGATAGCGTCTGCCTTGCCCGCAAGCTGCCTGTCGCAGCGCAGGGTGTTTCAGAGGGGTTCGCCGGACCTTCCTGCACCTTCTCGGCTGCGTACGAGTGTCCGGATGCCTTGTCTTTCCCCGTTGCACCTTTTAAAGCTGAAGAGGACGCGCCGAGTGAGTCGGCCCTCGGTTGTTTCGAGGAAGCCTTTCAGTCGGCGAAAACCCACGACTCCCACCTGTGGGAGAACGCTGGGGAGTTGAGTTTTCCGGAGGTTTGGAAACGCGGTGCGCTGCAGAGCGAGACCAGGCAGCTCTTCCCGAAACCCCAGGAGCCTGCTGAGTGCCCGGAGCCGCTGCAGGTGCAGCAGCACCTCTTCCGGGTGATCACCAAGTCTCAGCAGGTCCTGTCTCACTCCCGGGCGCTGGCTCCGTCCCTGCTGGCGGCTCCCGAGGCCAAGCACCTGCCAGCAAACCCCCTCCAAGCGGGGTTTCAGCAGCCGCCCCCCTTGGCTCCCCAGCTTCCGCAGCCGACGGAGTACGAAGGGCCTTCCACGTACCTCCAAAAGGCTGTACCCCAGTTCCAGGGCGTTTCCTCGGACGGGGAGAAACAAGGACCGCAGGCAGCCCCTGCCTTTCAGTCCCCCATGAAAGAACACGGGGGATTAAGAGACTCTTCTGTTCCTAGCCAGCTCCAGTATGGAACGCGTGGAAGTGCCGTGGGAAGCCACTCTTCTGGGAGGTCGAATCAGCTAGAAAACAAGGCTTCTGCATTTAAAAAAGAGAAGAGTAAAGATCGTAGCACAGAGACGGGCGGGAAACCGCCGGCGGGTGCTGGCCGGTCTTGGCGTCTGCCTGCCGTCCGCAGGGAGAGGCTGACTTTTGGCCTGAGCTGCGCGGCTCCCCCCAGCCAGGTGGCCATGGCGTCCTTCTCGTCGGCTCCTGCGGCCGGGGGCACGCGCAGGCTGACCATTTTCAACAGGATTCAAGTACGCCAATGGGCTCTTTCTTTACTTTGAGCGGTCTGTTGCTTGAGTTTGGGTCTCGGAGCCGTTGGCTGCCTTCCTGCGCTCTTTTAGGTGCTTTTTATTAGTGTTGACAGCTCTAGATTCACCCATAACAGTGCTTGGTGCTTACGCGGCAATTTACACATCCAGAGCGCTCTGAAAACCATTAACTAATTAATCCAGTGCCAAAGGTTTAGAAATAACTTAACCAGATCAAGTCTTGGGATATTTAGTAACGTGATACGTAGCCTTTCACCTGGCTTCGTGGTCGGGCTTGCGCCCAGGTATAATCAAAATCAAAAAAATCAAAAATCAAAATCAAAAAGGATAATCAAAAGCTGCGAACGCCTGAAGGTTCAGCGAGCTCGGTGCCCGTGGAACGGGAGCCCCTTTCTCGAGCGGAAATAATTGGTGTCTCGTTGCCCGTGGGAGGGCAGGGAGATCAAGAGTCAACCTAAACGGACTTCTCGCCTTCGGAGGTTAGCCTCTGGAGGTCGAAGTCAAAATAATTAAGTGAGGGTAGTCAAATAGAATAGTTAATTGAGGGTAGTGGTGGAAGCTTGCGTTACGGATAAACGTGCTGCGGCTGTTTTGGGGACTGAATATCTCCGAAGTCTGGGGTTGGTTTAAGTGCTTTGTTGGTAATTAGTCAGATGCCAGGCTTACACGCGGATGTGAAAACATCTTGCCCCGTCCCGAGGGGGTCGCCGCTGCCTCATGCGTCGGGCCGAGGGGACTGGCAGCCCTCAGGACGGGGAATTTCTAACGCGCTGAGGTTAAACCCTGTCTGTGTTGCTCCTGTTTCCGCCCTGGCTCCTCGAAAAGGTGTTGCTTCAGCGGCCAGTGGCTTAGGGGAGTCTTAGATTTGCATTCCTCTAACTCCAGGAGATTTTTGGGGGCTGGGGTGATGCGTGGGGCACGAGCGAATCCCCGTCCTGCTCCCGAGTGCCTGTTGTCGGCCGGGCAGCGTGGTGTCGGCAGAGTCGACGCCCGCAGCAGCTGGGGATCGGGATGATCCCGTCCTCCCCGCGTCACTGGAGTTCTGGAGCCAGGCACGTGGCACGGGAACGACGTGTGGCCGAGGAATCGGAGCGTGGCCGCCCCTGCCTGCGGCTTGTGATGGAAATAATGCGGTTTGATACCGGCGTTGTGTAAACGGGGATTCCCATTTGCACGTGTGCTTACAGCGTGCACGCGTGTATCGAAGTGTTACGAGGAGTATTGATTAATGACTAAAGATTTATGGGATTTGGTAACGAGCGTTGCTTTGCTGCGCAAGTGCAAAGTGTTATTTTCATGGAGAAAACGGCTCAGATGTTCCATTTCTTTTTTTTTAACGACAGAATGACTATATTTTAAGGCTTTACTTGCAGGCAGAATAACATCTGCTTTTGATTATTGTTTCTTTAACTGCAGGGTGGAAATATCTACAGCCTCACGAACGCAGCAGAGGAAGACAACTTGTCAGCTGGGTGGTAAGCAGGTTGCACTGAAGTTTTGAGGGTGGCGGTTGTTTTCTAGAGCGCGTTTTAGCACCTGTCAGGCGCATTTCTTTTCCCTCGGGGTTGAGATTTAACGTAGCCTGTTCATTTGGCTAGCTTTAGATTGTGCTAATTAATAGGTGTTTAAATTAGAATGGCAAGACTTCCAACCTAATTTCTAACCCACAATCGTAAAAACCGTGCAGCGACTGAAGCGTGACCGGGAGGTGACTTGAGTGAAATGTTTAAGACTGTTAAGGACGTAATAAGGAATGACCTGGCTTGTTCTTTTCACACATTACAACGACAAAAGACCAAAAGTTCACCGTGGAAGTAAAGAAATGGAAATCTGGGATAATGTTAAGGGATTCACCTCGTCGAAGGCTTTCCGGGGGGGGGGCGGGCACGGGGTATGGGCTTCGCTCTCCGTCTCATTCCCGGTGAGCAGCCTGCCTGTAAAGAGTATTATTGCATTATAATCGCTGAGGCAGGCCCTGAATTTAGGTCTTAGAAGCGATTAGCTAATTTTATGGTTAATTATTTTTTTTTTAGAGTGAGTTTGTGACTCGATTCTCGCCGTTGAAGAAAATAAACACACTTCCCTCTTCTTCGGTAATTGCCACTTTCTTTTGGCGCAGGGACTGCACACCTCTGGTGTTCTCTCTGTACGTAAATCGTGGCTCTGCCACCTTACTGCCCAGGCTAGGTAGCTTGCCATTGGCTGAGCGAGAAAGCAAGCTGCTCCCTGGAGAGAGAAAAAGAAGAGATTTTTATAATCTCCGTCCTTCTGAGCAGCAGCGCAGTCCCCACGCAGCCTCGGAAGAGGTGCCTTTTCCTGCAGCGCTGCTGAGCAGCGCAGGTAAGGGAGCTGCTCTCTCTCAATAAAAAAGAAGAATTTCGTCGCTCTTTGGCAACAAATGAAAGTCGTGGTTCCTGGTGAGCCACGTGAAAATAATTACCTGGTCGAGCGGCCTTGGTAGCCTGCCCGGTCCTCCGTTTCCGTGTCAGAAGAGGTTCCGAGGATTAGCCGGGCTATAGGAAGGGCGAGGCAGTAAGTATGCTGCGCTGGGAAGCTTTAACTTCGTTTGCTTTGGTTAAACCACGACAGCTTTCTTCGTCGTGTGGGTAGAGAAATGGCTCTGCAGGACTTCCAACGTCGCCTTTCCCGAACGCTGAATTCGCACGGGGGAGTGACCCGCAAATGACGCGTCTTTCCGCTCACGGAGTGGGATCTGTCAGAAATCCCGCAGTGCGTGGAACGCGTGGTGGTGAAAGGAAATCCTTCTGGAGTTTTTAACGCAGGTCGTTCTTTTTTGGTGTCGCGGTTCAAAAGCGATGTATGTAACTTTGAAAATAATATTTGCACGTATCTGTTCATAGGTACAATTCCTGTAACCGCTCAAAAGAGGAGGTAGCTTAACTGCGTCTCGTATTTAAAGCTGTATCTTTGTAACGCTGGCGATTGATGCCCCGCTGGGGATCTTTCTCTAGTTAACATCTTTTGCTGCTGAATGAACTGCAGAGATTTCCCAGCTAGACGTGAAATGAGCTCTACGGCAGGAAGCGCAAGCGTGGATCTAATGTTGATAGTGATTAAGTTATTTTCTTTTTTTAAAAGCGGTTCAACTTTATAACGTTAATTTTCCATCCCTTTATCTCGATTTTTCACTTAGCAATAAGAGCGGTGCTGCTCCTACTGATGGCAGCAGCGGTGAAGGCGGCTTTCTCCGCAAGGACTGCGGTCAGCTGTTTTACACCGAGAACGGTCTAGAGAGCCACGGGTGTTTTCGTGGCGAACAATGGCATCCACCACAAAGGAAGGAGGAACAGCAGGTAAAGGGAAAGAAACTGAACCCTTCAGTGCTTGTTATTGAACAGGAATTTGAATTAAGGTCGTGAGGATTCTTTAAAACCTGCCTGTAGCGTATGGAGATAAAAGCTGTGGAGTAACTCACCCTTTGTACTGAAAATTCAGATGAGTACAGGAGTGGGATCCAGAATCAGGGTGCTGCTTGAAGCCCTTCGGGCGGTTGTTACGTAGCGGACGTTCTTGAATGATGGTACTATTTTGAAAGCTGCTGCTATTGCTGCTATTGCAGCAATGTTCCTTGCTCTACAGCTGTGAAGCGCGCGTGAAAAGTGTAAGCCCGACTGTTCTAGCTGATAGTGTGAACTTGGGAGCTCAGTTTTGTAAAAATAAGAATAAGGAATTGGCGCGGTAGGGATTCCTGTCCTGGGCTCTTGCTAAATTACGTTGTGCTTAGAGAAACTTCCTCAGCGTGGCAGCTCTTATCATCACTATTTTATGTAATGGAGAAACAATTCGGAAGCGACTTGAAAGAATAGTTTGCGAAGCGCCGTGGCGTCCTCAGACGGCTGATGCCAGAAGATACACCTCGTACCCTTGTCTGTGTTTGCGGGAAGGTGTGCGATGCCGGAGACGTAAACGCTCAGGAACTGTCGCTCCAGGCGGCAGGAGGTGGAAACTGTCCCTCAAAACCCGAGGTGCCTTTAGAGGACGTAACAGCGGCTCCGCTCGTGATTCCTGTCTCGGTGCCGGTGACGGCTGCGAACTCGCAAGGAGGGAACGAGGTGGGTGGCGACTGCACTCCTGGAGTATTTTAATGATTTAGCAGTGACACCTTAGTTGGCCGACTTCGCTGGAGTCGCGTCTTTGAGCGACTGGTCACCGGCGTGTGAGTTTCGCTGGCTTAGCCGGCAGCTTAGCGTTACGGCTCCCTTAAATCCCCCAAATTATATTCAAATGACGCGGCAGTGATGGCCTTGGTGGTAATTACTACGGAAATGGACGTGGTAAAGGTTCCAGGGTCCGTCCGAGTAACTTGTCGGAAACATGTAACCCACTAATCACCTTGAGTTGTGTGAAAATAAAAGATGACGTGGGAAGTATCAACGGTAGGGTGCAGGACAGACGCTTGGCATTAAAGCCTAGGAAAATGCTCGGAATTTTGCTAGGCAATTTAAAGAATTTCAAGACGATTTCAGAAGTTACTTTCTTTTTCTTTCAGCACTCTCTCTGACTACCAAAAAAAAACTTGCGGAGGGTTCTTTTCAACAGCTCTCGTTCTCATGAGTGTGTCTGTTGGCTTCCCCAGAGCCGTCTGCACGAGTGAGGAGTGGAGCAGAGGGTCCTCTGACTGCGCTCCTCACGCAGGTTTGGGGATTTGGTGTTCGATATTGAGCTCGGAATAATAAATCACGCCGAGAGTCTAGAAGAAAACCAGATAAAAACCCTACGCAATCTCAAGCTTTCTTCTGTATGTTTTCAAGTGCCTTGAACTTGTTCCGCTGCTTTTCTGTGGATTTGACGGTTTGTTTGGAATTGTTTGTCCAGGTTACTGAAAAGGAAAGCCCGGATGGGAAGGACCTCAAAGAAATCTTGCACCAGAGAAAGAGGCAAACGCGGCCAAAATCACTCTTTATCCCACCTCCGCCGGCCCCTGAAGCCCAGCCGGGGATGGGAGGGTGTTACCAGAGTAACCTTCGTTCGCCCGTGTTCCTGGTGGATCATCTGCTGAGAGACTTGTTCCAGCGCTCTCCTTACACGCCGCCTCCGATGCTCAGCCCCGTGCGGGAGGGATCAGGCCTCTATTTCAGCACTCTCTGCTCTTCCTCTGCTAACGGTGATCCCAACCAGCTGTTCACTGCTGTATTAGGTAATAAAACCCTAATGTCTGCACTCAACAGATAATAGAACTGGAAAGGAATCCAGCTGGCTATCATACGGACTGCAGGAACAGAAAACTCACCCGCAGTCCTTTTCTCCAAGATGGGTGGGTTATAAATTAAAATGGTATCCACCTTCCTGTCGGGTAAATTACTGCATCGTATGCGGGCCAGTGGAAATACGGGTGTTTACATGTAGCAGTTTGAGTTACTCGTAAACTGATTTTATTGTACCAGTTTGCGGTAAAAATTCATCTTAATCTGAGTATTAAACACAGGTAGTGGCTACACCCAAGCAGTCCTGTCGTGAAACTGCCGAAGATGCTACGGTGGGCCCCTGCGTGTCAGAGGCGGCAGCCCGGCGAACGCAGTTTTCCTCTGGGTTCGGCTTCAGCTCGGTGGTTTGTCATCTGTAGTTATTCAGAGACCGCGGCCGAGTTAAGGAGTCGCGCCTGCAAATAGGGGCAGGCCCCGGCTCTGCTCGTGCCTTCCAAAGAAGGCTTTAAAAACAATAGAAGTACGTGACTTCTACTTTGCGATTCCTGTCGTGGAACAGGGGGACGTAAACAGCCCACCAGGGTTTTGCTCTGACACTGGCTTTCACTTACGAAGAACACGGAACTGCTCAGCCCCTGCGTGGCTGACTTCTGACCCGTGGTCAGGTGCAGCTGTGAAACTGCATCCGGATGGTCCACCTCGAGAGCTTCCAAGCGAGCAATTTCACTGAAAGGAGGGGAATTCCGAGAGAATAGTGGTTTGCGACGACGGGGATGCGAAGGGAGGCCAAAGGACGGTCTCGGCGGAATGATTTTCATCTTGAGCATTTTTATCTCTTTCAGGCAGAATGGACGGGGACTTTGGATTTTGTCTGATGAAGGATAACACCAAAATCAGCATTCAGCCGTGAGTTATGGCGTAGCAGCTAGAACAGTAGCGAACGTTTGGAAAATGGGCGATGAGGGAGCCGCGGTTTGGGAGTCGGTGTGTGGTTGGTTCAAGCGCGTGGGCTGTGCAGGCCTTCGAAGTTGACATTGACCTTCTCCCTCCCATGAGCCTATGGCTTGGCCGCTTCTCTCGCTGCCCTGCATCGCTGGTGAGGTTAATAGCGTTTTTTTGGCTGGATGATGCCGCGTGCTGGCCAGAGTGAAGTTGCAACAAAATGCCCAGGGCCATCCCAGTCAAGAACTGGCTTCCTTTACCGGTTAGGCTGGCGTCATAAATAAAGGTGCCCGCCTCCCTCCTCCTACACGATGTTCAGAGGTCCGTTTTTTGGCCGCGGTCGCAGCCTTCTCTCTCTCTTTTTTTTTTTTTTTTTTTTTTTTTGCTGCTCACTGTGAGTCTCAAAGTGAACCTCTCAAATTTTGTCAGGTTTTGAGGAAGGGAGAACAAACTTCCTTGATTGACTGGGGAAAAAAGGATTCCAGGGATAGCGCGGTGCCGCTGTTGGTGCTGAGAAGCGACTGTGAAAGTCGTTAGAGGAGAGCTAGTGATGCTTTGCTGCGAAATGCATGTTGTATACGTGCCGTATTTATTACAGCTGAGCCTCGCTCGTCACGTAGCCCCTCTTTCGAAGCGCGTGTGTATGTGTCTGCGTGCTACCATGTGTGTGTCCGTTCACACCTTGCCTTCCTCACCTCCTCTTTCTTATTACTTCAGGCACATCAACGTTGGAAGCCGATTTCAGGCGGAGGTGCCGAACCTCCGGGATAGATCACAGTTGGGAAAGGATGAACAGGCAGCGTCGCTGGTGTGGAAGCCCTGGGGAGACATCGCAACTAACCCGGAAACACAGGACAGAGGTTTCTTTAACACTTTTCTGCCAAGGCCACCCCCGAGATACTAGGGTTCAAAAATTCCACGTTTTCGCAGCAGCTTCTTGTACGTTCAGATTCTCTCCCTTCCTTTCTCGACCACCTTCACGCGTGGTAGCGTTAGAGGGAAGGAGATTGCTCCGTGGCGGTAGAACAGTGAACAAATAACAGCTTATGCTCTCGGTAGCATCTTGCATGAGAAATGGTCAGGGGCATTTGTATCTGTCTCGCCTCGTCTGCAGCGACCTTGGAAGAGGGGAGATTTCGTCTCTGGAGTTGTCGGCACCAAAGCTGTTCTTAGGGTAGAGACAGCGATAGCCGGATAGCTGGGACATCTGCCTTTTTTTTCTGTGCCTTTTCTTGGTCTCCAGTCTGTCTGTTGCACTTGTTCCGTTTTCCCTCTCTCTTGTATCGCACCTTTTCTCCTTTCTTGATGGAAAAGGACTTTCTGTTGGTTTTCGTTGCATTTGCAGTAACAGAACTGCTCAACATGGCCTGCTCCAGCGTCATGCCGGGGGGAGGAACGAACCTAGAGCTAGCCTTGCATTGTCTGCACGAAGCACGAGGCAATGTTCTGGTAAGAAGCAGCTATTTGGTCATAATTAATAACGGGCTAGGACGGCCTCTGTTACTGGTGTGAGGTGGGAGCCGCTCCCAGTTTTCTATTCCACAGGCTGGACTCTGGTCTCTTGGCTAAACTCGCAGAGTTCTTGTGTGCTGCCTGTTGCCGCAGCCTGCACGAACGTCTCTTGGGATTACAGACCCTGTCCTGGTGTATGCATAAGAGCTTCTTTTGTCTCTTGTAAATTACGTGACAATTCGGAGGATATAAGTACTACTCCCCCGAATGCCAGGAGTGAAGGAATTGCCATATTAGATAAAACCCGAGGTCTGCTCTAGATAAACATCCTGCGCTCGGCAATTACAACAACCCCGGGCGCCCCTCGCTGAGCAAACACCTCCAGCCCGGTCCCGGTTAAGCCCCGGGTGGCTCTGCTTTGCTCCCGTGTTCTTTGAAGAAGGGATTTAACAGCTCGCCCAAATATAGCGGAGGACTCGGTGTATGCTGCGCCTCCACGAGGAGGCTCTACGAGCACGTCTGCTGCGGCAGGGACGAGCCGAAAATGATTCCGGCAGAGAGGAATCTTCTCCTGGAGGTGGTGGCAGGCAGGGTCCCGCGGCTTGGTCCCCAGAGATCTCCTGATCTCCTGAGGTCCCGTTTTCCTAAAGCACTTTGGTGCGGATTGAGGAAGTGTTTCCATCAGCTGCGGTGGGCTGAGGTGATCCCGAAGCGCTGTTGCTGAGCATGGAGCGAGCAAAATCTTCCGACGGTGGACTGAATCACTGAAGTAGCAAAATACCTGAAAGCAAGAATTTACCTTTTTGCTCCTCCTCAGGGGGAATCTAAAGTCTTTTTACATTAAATCTTGCAGGAGGCTCTGGAGATGCTGCTTTTTGGGGCGCCTCAGAAATCTGAATCCCATCCTCTGGCTAATTATCGTTACGCAGGTAAACTGGAAGTAGAGCTTGTTCCTTCACCAGGAATGCTAACAGATGCTGCAATTCCCTTTCTGTATCCTGATTTAAAGTTTATTTTGAATCTAAAGTCTTTTTACATTAAATCTTGCAGGAGGCTCTGGAGATGCTGCTTTTTGGGGCGCCTCAGAAATCTGAATCCCATCCTCTGGCTAATTATCGTTACGCAGGTAAACTGGAAGTAGAGCTTGTTCCTTCACCAGGAATGCTAACAGATGCTGCAATTCCCTTTCTGTATCCTGATTTAAAGAGTTTATTTTAAAAAAAAAAAGTGTGTTCTTTGGGGCGGGGAAAGTAGTGGCAAAGCACTTTCAGTTTTAATCTGTTTACGGTGCTTTTTTACACGGGGGATGCCTCGTTTCTTGTGTTTCAGCCCGCTGCTTTGACGTGCGCTGCCCTGCAGTGACACCCAACGGGAGGAGCACGCTGAAGTGCGGCAACGCCAAATACTCGTTGCCGTACGCTCTTCCTGTCAGTTGTGCCCGTGCTTTACGGCACGCAGGGCTTATCTGCTGGCTGTAATAACTAGTATTGCTAATGCATTCGCTGCTGCATTTGGTAATTGCTTTCTGAAGGAGGAGAGACGTCGATACGTGGCTAATAAATTGTGCTGATTTCTCTTAGGCTGCGAGTGATCTAATAATTTGCGTGTTGCTGTTTATTACTAGGTTCAGATACTTGGACGCCTCTCGAGAAGCAGTTGTTTAGAAAGGCTTTTTGCGTACACAAGAAGGATTTTTACCTGATCCAGAAGAAGGTAAAGCCGTTGGGCCGCGGTGGATCTAGGGCTGTTAGGGTTGACAGTTTTAACCCAGCAAGCCGTATTTTGGGTTGTGTGCTGGAGTCCTGTTCTTTGAAACCTAGTGTCTGCTTCTTAATGCTAAAAAGACACCGGTACAAGACACTATTTGCCCTAGCGTATAATTACAACAGAATATTTAATATCTCTGGCACAAAACACCAGAGATATTAAAACAGGAATGAAACGCTCTGCTGACCACCCGTGTGAAACGTACAGTTCTGCCCTTCCAACGCGTCTTTGCAGCCTTTTCAGAAGAGGAAGGCTGGTTTTCTGTCTGATCTCACCCGTACGTTGCGTTGCGATAACCGGAGAGAAATGGGGGAAGGAAAAACTGTGCTAGATGGATTTGTTGTATATCTGTGTCTTAAATGTTTTGCTACAGTATGTCCATTATAGATTGCTTCTGTTTTTCTCACAATAGATTCAGACTAAGAATGTGTCCCAGTGTGTTGAATATTACTATATCTGGAAAAAAAAAATTAAGTTTGACTACAGTCGAGCTCAAGTAATAGCAAAAAAGGTCAAGAGAGACAAGGATGAGGTGGAAGAGGCTGAAGAAAAGGTAGAAAAACGGCTGGGGATTTGTGCGAGAGGCCGCTCCTCCATGAAAACGTCTTCCAGTGCTCTGTGAAAGGCGCGGCAGATGCTGCCCAGGGAGAGGTTCTGGTTTTATTCGGCTGCTGCTTTGATAAACTTATTCTATAGAATAACTTTGAGACAGCGGAGCGGTATTCCGCAGTTAGCACCATTACTAAACCGTGCTGCTACCCTTTACAGGCAGCGTTTGTTCTTAACGTGCTGGCAGCCTTGCTGATTGAAATAAGAGAATTCCCCGCTACTCGCTAACGTTAATAATCCTGTTCGCATTAAACTTGTTGCTGATGATTTTCGGGGTTGTTCTGTACCATCCCAGTAAAAGGGAACTGCTGGTGACGCGGCTCTGCGCGGGGATTGCTAAAACGTTCCCTGCCGGCAAACAGGAATTTGGTTCACAGAAAGGTGGGTTTTTTGTGTGCGTGTGGTAGAAACCGGGTAACCATGTAACTTCAGTGCTTAGTCGTTCTACGCTTTAAACCTGTCGTATAGACTTCTGCGGAGGAAAGTGCTATTCCGCTTAGGGCAGTATAAATAATACGTTTTTTCTTCCAAGGTCTGTGTTTGCACCCCATCCTCACAGTCGAATTAAAGCGTTTTTTCGGCTATTTAGCGTTCGGAGGAGTGTGCCTGGGCAGACTTGGGCCGGTACATTTTTGTGCCGGACGTCTGTCATGCATTCTCGGTGCCTTTCTCGGCAATTCAGAGAGTTTTCAAGCTAGTTTTTTTACTTTAGCTGTCCACCTTTCTGAAGAGAAGGAAAAATGAATAAAGGCTCTCTGATTTACAGGCTGTTTGCAGCCCGAAGAAGAGGCACCGTCTTCTGCCTAAGGAAAGCATGAAGATAAAGCAGAAGAGTCATAAAAAGATGCCCTGCAATCTGCGTGAGTCTTCGTACCAGGCTGGAAGTGCCGACGATGGGGGCGTATTTCCCTGTAGAGAGTGTGAAAGGTAGCTATTAATTTTTCTTCTAGAAACCTGCTGCTTTTGGTTAAAAAGGATTTAAACTTTCGAAGCCGCCCAGGGGGCGGGGGGGGAGGGAGCGGAGCTGAGGGCAGCTTGAGGATTACCCCTGCCCCTGGGCCTCCCTGCAGCTTTGTTTGACTTTGCAGCCAACTTTCAACCCGCAGGTCTGTCGCGTTTAACCACCACCGTCCCACGCAGCCGGGGGTACCGGCAGAATGAAGCAATGGAACTGTGTCGTACCGCGCATCAAAACGCACAGAAATGCACAGAAGCAGAAATAATGAAGCTCGGTTTAACGGTGTTTATCGAATGGAAAAAAAAAACCCCAAACCAAACCCTGTTTGTTTTCTAACTTCCAGGGTGTTTGACAAGATAAAAGGTAGGAACGCTCATATGAAAAGCCATCGCCTGCAGGAGCGGGTAGAGCCTCTCGTGAAGATTACGTGGCCCTTGAAGCATTTTAAAAGTGAGGCAAAGATGGAAGAAACCCAGATGCTGACCTCCTCGAGCGGTAACTGGGAAACTGTGATTTCCGAGCAGCAACGAGGTTAGTTTCCTCTGCTTAGAAAAAAAGACATAAACCTTCTCTAGCATCGGAGCGGTGGCTGAGCTCTGAGGAGGATTAGACGACAGGAGGTTGCCCCCGCTCTTCAGGCTAATCCGTCAGGAGCACAGCAGCGGTCGTGCCAACGCTGAAAAGCCGCCTCGGCTTTTCCTGCCGTGGAAAAGCGCTCGGTGAGGCTGCCGAGAACGTTCGCTAAAGGGCCTCTGGAAGAAAAGCCGCGACTTTGTGTGTGTAGGGTGTTTTAAAAACTTCCTTGGGTTTTCTCAGCGGTTAGCGCCAATGGCTGGTGTCGAGTTTGACAGAAAGGGATGTGAAGGCACCGAATGTTCCTGACTTGTATCAACACGGCAAAGACGTGTGCTAAATGAGGTACGCGTGCCTGGCATTGAGTTACAATTATGCATGGTTGGGAAAATACGCAGCTGTCAGTGGCTGTGAAATAGCTGTTGTACAAATACTAGAAGCTCTTGACTTCTGCTTTTGCTTAAAGAAGTCCTTTGCCTCCATTTAAAAGGAAAGTTGGCTGCCCTTGGCCCTCACTTCTTGCTATCAGTTTCGGGGTTTGGTGTTGCTAGAAAGAAACAGAACAGGGAAATCAATGGGAAATTGTCATCATATTTAATATCTTGGTTTGCCATAAAGGGATAGTCATGCACAGCATTTCAGATCTCGACCATAGCACTCTTCTGATCCAAGTAAGGTTTGGTTTTGGGGGTTTTTTAAATGTGTTTTCTACTTAGCTTAGTAAACTGGGTTCTTGAATAGCAGGTGTAAAAGTTCTTGGACTGCTCTTGCTGGTTATGCTATAAATAATTAAATAGTTAAAGCAAAGTTCGTTACGCTTGGTTGGTGGCGCGGACACGGCATGCTACCTGCACATCAGTCTCGAAAGAAGAACCTGGGCACGTGCTTCCGCGGGCCCAGTCCCTCGGTCGGTGGGCGGGGGGCTGTAAAGATGGATCCGTACTGTCCCTGAAACTCTCTGGAAAGCTTAAAGCTGGGGACCGCAAACCCGTCGAGTCTGGGGACCGATCCAGGCTGCAGCTTGCCGTTGCGTCGAAGCTCCTTCGCTTTCCAGTCCGAACGCAAACGTTTCCTTCGTTTTGCTGTGGCAAAATCCGAGGTACCGGCTCGGCCCGCTTCCCGCAGGGTGAGGGACGGAGCAGGGGCTGCGCGCGGGGGGGTGGGGGTGGTCCCTTGTTCGTTTTGCCACCGGAGAGTGCTCGGGCACTGCGGCGAGACGCGGCAAAAGCAGAACCGGGGCGGTTAAACCCGTTTGATCTGCTGTGAGTCCTCGCAGTTGTCTAGTGGAGTCAGCGCTAGCCTTTCGCAATATTTAAAGCACCGTGTCCAGTTGTGGTGTTGCTGCACCGATTTGTGTCTACTTGCATAAGTATCACCGCCTCGCTAAACTGCATTTGGTAGTGAGAATTGAGGGTTTGATTAGTTCGACGAATGAAATATAAATAAGGGGTCTTGTCTCCACTGTTGTTACACTAGGAGGGATAAAAAGCTTCGTGGGGGTTTTTTTTGTTGTTGTTGTTGCCAGGCCACAAGGTTTTCGTGGCTTTGTTTAGTTTTTGCGAGGCTGAATAGTCATGTCCGCTACAAACAAATCTGTATTTCGGTTCCATTTTCTCTTTCAAGGACCGATCTCCAGGTCTGGGCCTCGATGAACTTCTTTACCCAAAGCAGGAGGAAGCTTTGTGGAGTGGG